ACTGGAGAGGACGCTGAGGGAAGAAAAGGATACGTAAACCAGTTAGCTGGTTTGTGTCGTCTGTGTAGTCCTGCATTGCAACTTGTTAACTGTGCAGAGTTAGAGGTGTGCATTTAAAATTGGAGAGACAGTTTTTGGTAGCAGTCTTTCATTACCCTTGGTGGAGTAGCACTAGAGTACCAAATTCAAGACTGCATGTGGAGAAAATTAGGCTTTTTGTGAGTCCTGATGAAAACATTGTTTCATCAAGATGCTGTACTGAAATCACTGTTTATCTCTCCCAGAATCTATATGCTTCGTGGAGATATCATGCAGGTGCTGATACACACTTTGTGCTGACTGACCAGCTGGTATTGTTGCAGAAGATGTTTCTATGTAACAATCTGTGACTGATTCTGCTCCTTAGGATAGCACTTGTTCTAGCATTGCTTTCTAGTGCTGTGGTTTTTTTGTTAATTATTTCTGAAGCTCTCTGTAACACTTGACACTCTTACAAAATTAAATGTGTTGTGAACATTTTGAGCCCTCTGTTCTTTGTGTGGGACTTTTTTCTGTGCTCTGACTTAAACCTTAGGTAAATTCTTTTGCTGTTTCCTGTAACTGATTTAGTGCATCAATGTCTGACTTGCGTCTGTTTTCCTTCTTACTCCCGTCTCCTTGTCTGTTTTTGCTAACTGCTCTAGTAAGTGCTTTTTCATCCATCAGAGACCTTTGACATGATAACAGTCGTCAGGTGACCCTGAGTGTGTGTGATGTTAGCAGGGAATGGTTCTCTACATCCCTCTGTTAAGAGTGTTTGGCTGAGACAGAAATATGGTTTGAATCACTGCTTCTGGGCAACAGAACCAGTCAATAGAAATAATCTAGCTCATCTTCTGGTGAACAGAGTGAGATCAGGTTCCTTGCCAAGTACTGGACTCTTTTGTATTTTGGTCATCTTTTGGAAGACCCTGTGTTGCGATTGTTCAACTTCCCTATTGCTGTGACTTGAGATTCTTTTTGTGATGTGTTTGTCTAGTCTGCTGTACTAGACAGAGATGAGAGATGTCACTGCTCTTCTAATGAAAGCAAAGAAAAAAGGGTTCTGAAATATTTTTTAATAAGAGGTGGGTGAATGCATTTATTTTTCACTCTCCATTTTCTTATTGTCGGTAGTCAGTTTTTAGGCATTCTCTACCCACCAGCATCTATATGTAATTGTATTTTTCACCCTTTTGTGTCAACAGGTTACACAACCATGAGCAGCCTACATGGTTTCTGCTCAGCTGCTTGTTTGAAGCTGACCTTGTGGTAGTACTGGAGATGTTAAATGGTGTGTCAGGAACAACAGCCGGTGGAACAAGTGACATCTTTTCATGAGAAAATGTCTGAAACAAAGAACTGCCCAATACTTGAGTTTCTGTTACCCACTCCTGGAATTGGCCATTCGAGATCCTGTGTCCTGCCTGCTGGTGGAGGGCATTCGCATAGGACATCTTTAAAGCACAGAGGGCTCTATACTGTTTGGAAGGCAGAGGTATCAGATAGTAGCTCATGTTTGTATATCTTATGATGAATGCTAAAACAACATGGATCATATTTATGAACCAAAGTGGAGTGGGGGACAAGAAAATTTTAAAATGCTTTTATCCTTCACATGAGCTAAAGGTGGTGGAGTTACTTCTGAATATAAACCATTTCATAGGCTGGCTGAATGGTTTGGGAATAGGCAGATCATGTTTTTAAGCTAACAATCCCTGGTAGTTAGGACTGCATTGAAGAACAGAGCGTTTTAACTTGAGTGTCAGCAGAGTGAACTATGGCATCAGAGCTGCTGACTGCAGTGTCCTTTCTTGTCAGGAAGGCTTTTGTGCCTCTGCAGGAGGGTAGGTAAGCAAAATGTTAGGGTGAAAGGGCACTGGTTGCTCTTGCTGCAGGGTATTGTTTTTTTTTTTCTTCCTATCTGCTTTGGTATGAAGTAGTAGTGCTCTGAAATGGAAAGTCACAAGAGTTTTGGTATATTCAGACTTTTCGTAATCCCTTTTGATCCCCGTATTGCTGCCCCCTCCACACTTTAAGCTTAACTCTTATGCAGGGTGGTGGTGGCCATCATCATCTTTCCTAATATTTTTTCTGGGTTTTGTTGTTCTACTGTTACCTCCTGAGCTTTGTTACTTCAGCAGGTTAAATACTAGGCAGATTTTGTGCCAGCATCTTTCTTGACCATCGTGAGGAATTAGCTCCCTTGTTAAGTTAATGACCTGTGTCCTGCCTCCAAGACTTTCTTCGCTATGCAGCCCTGGGATGATGTACAGCATCAGTGTTTATGAACTATCTCTGTCGTCCTGTCATGGTTCCTCACCTAAGGAGGGCACTTTCTACTGCCTCTGCCAGTCTCTGCTGGCTGAATTGCTACTTCCTTCCCTTTTCATAATGTGTATGACAAAATTGCTTACCTCAGGATAAAGATGCATCTTTGCATCAAAGTTTATTGTTTATTGGAAGACTATTTCTCACTTCTACCTGCAGATGTGTTTGCTGTTCTCTTTTCGTGGCCAGTCCTCTCCACCTGCTGGTGGCTGTGCTCCTTCTCTGTCAGGATTTCATTCGTGTTGCTCTGCTTTCTTCTTTCTGTTCCTTACAGCGCTTCTATGACCTTTCAGGTGCCAGAGGAAGAAGAATGCTTTTTCATGCACACCACACCAAGCATCACTAGGCATGACCTTATTAGCACATTCAGCTTTTCTTGAAGTTTCTCCATCTGTTTTCAGATCAAGATGTTTTCTTCATAAAGTCCGTTCACAGAATTTTGTCCATGTTCTGGGCCTCAGCTCTTGTTCATGTGCCTGTCTCCTGCATTCACCTCAAATAGTCTTGTGCAGTAGAGTGAAAACAGCCTTGAATCCAAGTGTCTGTTTCTTCCACTTCCCATCTTGTTTTCATTCTTGAATGGAAATATTTTCTCCTAGGAAATACCCTCTTCTTTCTTGTGTTTTTGTAATGCTGCCCTTGCAGGCTTCTGCCAAGTACTCAGGAGACAAGTCTTCTTGTAAACACCAAATTGTATTGCATTGAAGTTATTACAAAGCCAACTGAAACAGCTTACTTGGAATACTTTTTTTTGCAGTGCACAATTTGAGGAACATAGTTCTTAAGGATGATACATATCTGTTTTCTTGCTGTAGGAACAGCAAGTTGTGCCTGAAGCACCTGTGGTACTGGTACTCTAGCTGTTCTTGCTTGTTTGAAGTATTATGCTGTGTGGAGTGCTCCTCCCAAACCCCAGTGGTTAAATGCAGTAGAAACACTTAGGAAGGAATTTGCGCAAGGGATGAGCCCAGAGAGCTTGTAGATAAGTGGAGGAAAAATATAAGAAAGAACAGGCAGGAAGAATAAGGAAAAAATGAAATATTTTTAGGAAATATACTGGCAGTGGTCTCTGCATATCTCTGCTACCCTCAATTTTGAGTTTCTTTGTGTTTGCATATATGTGGAAGGGTTCTTTAGCAAAATAGAGTTGCAAGGAGGATTAGAGCATTGAGATGATCTACAAAATCTATTCCATATGAGGTAGGAGCATGTGCCAAGTGCTAGTTTGAAACATTTCCAAGACGGTGATGGCAGCTGACGTCATGCACCAGTGAGAGGTGCAAACTGACCTCTTGATACTGGCAGAGAAAAAATCATTGTGACAAGAAAAGTCAAGACAGGCCACCTGTGTTTTGTGAGGAGGAGAATGGAAGACAAGGAAGGAAGGCAAAGGTAACATTTAAGTGACAGAGCGGGATAACAAGCTTTGTCTTTTAGGGATAAGACCAGTTATTTTACTTTGGTCAATACTCGATTACAAGGTGTTGCAGTGACTGAGATGCAGTCATCTCAGCTAGTTGCTTTAGTGGGGTGAATCAATAGGGAAGGACTATAGATGGTCATGTGAAGAAGGCAGCTTGTCTAGTCAGGGTGTGAAGGTTTAGGCCCTGAGTCAAGTAGGGTTGCTGGCTTGTGAATTCTGATTGGCAGGGAAAAGAGTGAAGTTTTCCAGCAGGGGAAAAAAACAAAAAGTAGGAGGTAAGAAGCAATATGAAATTAAACGCTTAGTTTCTTCTCTTGGTTTAGAATTACTGCCTAGGTATCAAAGAAACATCAAATAAATTGAGATGTTTATTTAGACAGGAGGAAAAAGCACTGTGCTGGCTGCATAGATCCAGTAATTATTGCCTACATGTAACATGGGGCAAGGAGGACAGAGCCCCAGAGTCTCCCGAATGCCAAGGGATATCTCCCGATGCCTGTTATGGAGGCAGCCTCAGCCCCGCAGATTAGAGGGACAAAGAATGGGAAAAGACTATGGTTAATTGAGGCAATAGGAGCAGAACTAGGGGGTGTAGGTTAAAAAGCTGAAGGAAGATGAAATTTTGAGAAGGAGAATATGATCAGATATGTCAGTGGTAACAAACCTGTCTGGAAAAACAAGATGAGGGACTGGCTCTGAATTCTGGGTAAGGATTTGGGGTGTAAGAATGAAGTAAGGAAAAGGAAGTAGAGGGAGTGAACTTCATGGAGCTTTACAGATGAAGGGCAAAAGGGAGATCAATGGCACTGACATGCAAGTGGAGCCAGATGTCAGTTTCTGGGCTGGGGGCTTGTTTGGAGATTCTGAGCAGGATTTGTTTTGGCAAATAAGAATGAGTGGGGTGAGATGGTAAAATGTGAGCATGGAGGAAGGAGGAGGCAGATGTGAAAGGACAGTACTGAAGCATTAGAGAACAAACAGGAGGGAAAAGATATTCAGTTTGTTTTGATAGTGGGGAGGGGTGGATGTATGTGAAGGGCACCTGTCTGTTGCCTTCAGATAACAGAAGGAAATAGGTCATTAAGTGAGCATAGAAAGCAAAGGACGTGGTAATTAATAGACTGATTGTGTTGAGGGAGAACTTGGCTGTGTGCATGGGTTTGATTTGTGAAGTGTCATATTTGCTACATAGTCTGTAAATCTCCATTTCTTTGTTATGTGTTTGCAGTGCGGCTCCATGACAGTATTTCAGAAGAAGGTTTCCATTATCTCGTCTTTGATCTGTAAGTGTCTTTCTTCTGCTTTGATGCTTCACCAGTGAAACAGGCATGTGGATGGTTGACTAAGAGTGGAATAAAAGGCACCTGCATTAATATAATTCTCCCTTTCACTTCTGAGACCTGTAGAGAGCTCTAGCCCATTTGACAAAAATCCATTGATTGTGTGGTAGGGGATGGACCAGAAAGGCTCCTGGCAGCAGGTGTATGCAAGGGATGGCTAAGGATGTCTATCCTGTATAGAGAGGCTGCTTGACTTTTGTCTCTGAGGCAGCCTGGAGGAGGGGATCAGAGAAGAAGGGGTGTTCTGCCCAAGCTTAGCATTTACTAAGCTCTATAGAGAGTCACGAGTAATTCATACCCAGTTTGTCAGCAGTGTCCTGTGCACTGTTGGTGAAATGGCAATCCAAGGGGTCAGTCACATGAATGTACCAGTGCTGGTGCCATGGTGATGGGGCTCTGCCCTGGCTCCCCTGTGCTGCAAGACTCCACACAGGCTGTGGGAAAGGGCCCATACGGGTGGCCATGTATGTCCCAAACAGCCTTGAGCTAGATATTCACAGACCTTATAACTTCCCCTCTTCTATTGCACTCTAGGGTTACTGGTGGGGAGCTCTTTGAGGATATTGTTGCCAGAGAATACTACAGTGAAGCAGATGCCAGGTAAGACTGTTTCCAGAGCCTTTGGTGTATGTGCCACGTGTGCTGGCAAGTGGAATGAGTTTCCTGACTGATGCTCTGCGCGTGGCTTTGTTCTGACACTCTTGCTCCCCATCTGGAAAAAACAATTCCTCTTTCTGCTATTAGCATAAACTGTTGTCACTAGTCAGCCTGACTCACTGCAGCTCTAGACCTTGCCACTTGCAGACACTGCTGTCCCTGTGCTCATTGCTGAGAGGCCCATTGCTACCAGCTTTTTCTGCCTGACCTTTCTGGTAGGTCGTGACAAGGTATCCTCAGTGAGAAAACATAGGGGAGAGCTGTCCTGTGACTGTCAGAGTGCTACCTTCTTGACCTCTTCCTTCTCCTGCCGGGAGTTCCAGTGGTATGCCATTGCTGTTGGGCAGTCCCATTCAGTTGGCCTGCGGCTAGGTAATGGTTTACAGGGCAGTGGGAGAGGGCTGTGTTTCTGTGGGAGCCCTCTCTGATTGTGGGCTGGTTCACACAGTGAGAAAGGCACAATATGTAAAAGCAACTGTTATATTTTAATATTAAAAAGATACATAGATATATCCTTCTTTTTCTGAGTGTGTCCCCTCTCTCCCATGTGTGAGCTTCCTGAGATGGCCTGTGCTTGCACCATGCTTTCAAATGAGGCATTGCAGCACACACTTTGCTGTGAGCTGTGTGCTGCGGAGGAAGGCCAGTGGGCTTGTTGTCTCTGATGGAGCTCCTGGCAGAGATGTCTGAGACCCATGTAGATGTTTTCAGTGGGGTGTACAGATGTTGTAGGCATAGCATCTCAGACAGATACATAGTCACTTGAGCTGTTCTGCCTTGAATCTGGGAAGATTTGAGGTTATCAGTCATCAGCCTTCCCCCTGTGCCTCTTGCCAGGGCCTGTTCCCTGGAATGGTCAGGAGCTGGCAGTGACTGACACTGCTCAGGAAAATTATGGCAGGATTCAGGGAAACGGAGACCTGTCTATTGCTCTGTGGGGCATCATCAGGGTACTCAGCCCTCTAACTGTCAGCTGGCTAGGTCTTGCAGTGCCAACAAGATGACAGAGTGAAACTCCTCCCTTTCTCTCCCCATGCCGAGCTGAATTCCAGAGAAGGCTGGGAGAGTGAGGGAATGAGGTCTGTGCCAATCCGCTGCACTTGGCTCGCCTGGGACACCTCACACTTTTGCCATTTTTGGCCAGAAAATCTCTCTCTCTCAGGCTCAGCTCTGTTCTAATTATACATTTTTGTTTTGGGAGCGGGGAGATATTAATGGACTCCAATCCTGAGGATTGTACTGCCAGCTCTGGATGGGTGGGGATAACAAATACACAGTGCTTCACCTCCTTTCCTCTTTCTCCTCTCACCCTCTTCCCATCTTTTCCAGTATTGAATTTCCCTTCCCTCAAATATTTCACTCATTTCAAATTTGTTCTGCCAAGATTTGTAGAATTTGGTGAGGGGACTGACTGGTCCTGCAGTGCGAAGTGCAGTGAGGACCATCTGAGTTGCCTATGGCTGGGTGTGTATTGCCCAGCCATGGTTGTCAAAATCCCTACTCCATTCCACACTCACCTGTGGGAGCTGAGTAAATGTTTAGCAGAAAAGATTATTTCAACCAGAAGTGTCACCCATGGGTGTGTTGCATTGTCTTAATGCAACAGCTGTAAATAACATCTTGCCTTTTCCCCAGTGGTTATAGCAGTGAGAGTGGCAAAGAGACAGTTTCCTGTGGGCTTAGGGAGCACAACACACTACACTTAACTGGGAATGAGTCTGCTTTTCAGATTACTAACCTCTTAAGTGGGATCTGAACTTAAAAGGTACCCAGCAAGCGGGTGTGTGCGCACATTGTGTATGTAAAGTGCTTGAGATGTTGCTCTGAAAGCTTTGCAAATTGGCACATGCACAGGATTTGTCATCCTGAGTTTTCTAAGGGAGTCTGTTGCTCTCAAAAAGTTTATTCTTTGCTCAGGACTAGCCCGGCTGAATGTTTCCTGGAGCACTTGGGTCTTTCTTGCCCTGTCTTGGCTGCTGTTTGCAGATGCTTGGGTACCTCGGTTCTCCTGTGTGGGGTGGGCCCTGTTGGCTGAAGGAGTAAATGAGATTCTTGGTATGATGGGGAGGAAAGGAAGGAGGTGATAGGAGGTAGGAGAGGCAAGGCTTTGTGGTCCCACTAGGTAGGATGTTTAGCATCCTGTTGCTGAGGGCCCTGGGGATGTCCAACAGTACTGAGTTGTGGCATCCAGTGGGCATGATAAAGGGATTCATCCTGGGGTCTTGAACTATCTTTGGTACAAATATCAAAATTAGGGAAATGGCTCTGGTCTGAGATGAGATGCCAGGTGTGTGTGCATAACTGTGTGTCTCTCAATTTATCTTGCAGCCACTGTATTCATCAGATACTGGAGAGTGTGAATCACATTCACCAGCATGATATCGTGCACAGGGACTTGAAGGTAATATTTCCTCCATGCCACGGAGGCTGAGGAGAGCAGCCAGGGGATCATTGGAATAGGCAAGACAGGAATACTATGTTGCCAGCTGGCAGGGATTTTTTCACTTGAACTGGACTCAGGGGTTCCTGAAGCACAAATTTGCTCCTTCAGAGTTTTCTTGAGGGTGTACTGAACTCCTGAGGAAGTTTTGAGTCTTCATGAACCTTGCCCAGCTCTCAGCCTCTCTGAGGCAGCTCCAGGATGGAGTAGTTTTGAACCTTAGTGTGCAGTAGGCTTTCAGAGAAACTTGGGTAAGATTCATTATAATGGAAAACACTTTCTAATTTGCCATTGAAGAGATCCCTAGAAACCTGGAGCAATCTGTTCAATCTGCCAGTATGAGTTTATCTACACAGAGCATGTATATTTTTATTCTGCACTGTTGCCAAACACATGCCATTGGGCCAGGGCAGGGTGCATAACAAGAATATTTTTTGTGTCATTTCTTTCTTCTCTCATCAGTCAAAGCACTTCTAAAACCAAAACTGCTGGCCAGTTAAACAGTAGCTGAATCACCTTTTGCCACATTGTAACATGTGTATAGACCCAGAGCCCCCACAGTGTAGTTACTGAAACCCCATCCCACACATATCCAGCTTTAATGGGAGCTGGGCAGGCCCCAAAATGGAGAGATTTGTACAGGAAGGTCTGCTTGCCCTGCAGCTCTCTCTGTCTGAAGCGGGAACAGTGATGGCCACCAGTGGTCCAGTTAAATTAATGCATGTTGACACTTGCTGCTAGTGTTGGTTTTGATTTGACATACAATGCATAAGGGAGAAAGTATAGAATTATTTTTGCAGAGAGCAAGGTAAAAGCCTGTTGCAAGCTCAGTGGCAGTGTTCTCCAGGTGTTTTGCTCTAGTGGACAGCTGTTAACCTTTAGCATTTCTGGCAGGCTCCCATACAGCACTTTTGGCCTTCTGATTCAGAGTTCTGTGAAAAGATGCAGTGATCTGCTGCAGCATAGCTGCTCTGGGTTACAGTTTATACCTGCTCTTGAGAAAGCAGCCTCTAAGAGGCACTACTGCCCAAAATTAGGGCCTGTATGAAAATCAGTAGTGTTTTTCAGTACAGGATGGTTTAAGTTCAGATGCGATCTGTTTTGCTTCCTATGTTTTATTTGTGTGAAAGTTGTGAAATCATTTAGGACTTATCAGCTACTAGACACTCCCCACTGTAGTTAATGTGTTTCTTCTGTTGCTTTTCTGATTCACTGAAACTGTCGAGGCCTGAGGAGTAGCCATTCCTTTTAGCAATAAAAGGTCTCGTGCTCTTTGTTTAGTATTTAGCTCCTTGCCAAGAGCTTGGCCTTCAGGATCGGTGTGCAATAGCTGCAGAGCTTGTTTCAAGTGAAATTTTCTTTTTCACTTCCCTCTCATAAGCTGACCTACTCTTAAAGAACTTCAAATGTTGAGCTGCTCATAGGGACCACAGAAGTTAGAGAATGCATTCAGATCTCTACAAAAAAAGTATGTGAAATATGAGACAACCCGTGTATTCATAAACATGTACATGGCTAAGCACCATTAGCCTTAAGGTGTTTGTAGCTGTGTTTTATAAGCCAATAGTGCTTAGCTAGCACAAGCCTGGCTGAAATGTCATAGTTCCTTAGTCACTCCAGGCCTGCGTGTGATCTGAAGGTGGGAGGGATTTTCAGAAGACTCCATTGGTCTTCTGTCTTAGGAACTTGTTTACACTGGTGAATTTTCATCAGTGTAGCTTGATTAACGCAATCTTTTCCTCTTCCCATCTGATGAAAAGAGGGTGGCATCCAAATGTATTGAGTACCAGTTCCCCTTCCTTCCATGCTCCTTATAGGAAGGACTTATAGGATGAGCAAGGCTTTTCTCCCTTTGTTCAAAGCAGAAGAAAGACACACGCCTGGTGAGAAAAGCATCTTGTTCCTGTCAGGCAGAGCAGGGATAGAGGGTTGCTGTGGGCTGAAGCTGGTGAGGAGGCTATAAAGAAGATCTCAATCAGATTTCTGAAACTGAGACAAGCTCCTGTTTCTGGATTTGCTGGCTTCCACCTTCCTTGGTTAAAAACTCAAATTGATATGAGTTACACAAATGATCAGAAGGGGGTAGGATCAGAAAACACATTTCTCCAGCTTGTCTACATGTTTGTTTTCCTGCAGAACTGTTATAGCAACCACCTTAAAGGCTTTGGAGTTTCAAAAGGGTCCCATGCATCTAGCTGTTCTGGTGCTTCAGAGAAAGCTGCTGACTCTCAGCAGTACAGTTTTTGAAGTTGTGTTAAAGTCTTGTCCTTAAGTCCTCTACTGGAACACAACAGAATTATGATTTAAGTGAGATTCATATGAGACAGATATATGAGAGGCCGAAGTCTATCTCCTTTTCCTGGCACATGGGAGAGGTGACATGGCTGCTTGTTGCCTAGTTGACAGCAGCAATAGCAAGACATATTTTATGCTGCTGTAAATATGTATAATGAAAAATCAGCTTACAAGAATACTCACTGCTGTGCTGCTTATACCAATTTGAGGTTGAGGCTTTTTCCATAAGGGTTGAAAACTACTTCCTATCCAGATGATGCCTTCCCACATTACAATGCTGTATCTGGCAGCCCTTATTAGCATGATTTACTTTTCCAGTGCTCTGGGGACTGTGTATTGGGAGAAACATCACTGAAGATTGTATATACTGCATCTTCCTCCTCTCCTCACCTCAAATTATTCTCTGTAGGTTGACAGAAACAAATTTTGGGTTTTGTGCTTCAGGAATTGTACTGCCAGTGCCCTCTGGTGTCAACATGTAACATATGGCCTGGGTTGGGAGATGCTCTGGCTCCCACATAGGATTTTTTTTTTGTTGACTTTTCTGCCACTCTTCGTCAATGCCATTTGTTGCTGTTGCACTGTCTTCACCTGAACAGATTTAGTAAATGCCTGCTAAGTTCAGTCAGCAGACTCAATTTAAATGATTTAAGTGAGATTCATATGAGACAGATATATGAGAGGCCGAAGTCTATCTCCTTTTCCTGGCACATGGGAGAGGTGACATGGCTGCTTGTTGCCTAGTTGACAGCAAGACATATTTTATGCTGCTGTAAATATGTATAATGAAAAATCAGCTTACAAGAATACTCACTGCTGTGCTGCTTATACCAATTTGAGGTTGAGGCTTTTTCCATAAGGGTTGAAAACTACTTCCTATCCAGATGATGCCTTCCCACATTACAATGCTGTATCTGGCAGCCCTTATTAGCATGATTTACTTTTCCAGTGCTCTGGGGACTGTGTATTGGGAGAAACATCACTGAAGATTGTATATACTGCATCTTCCTCCTCTCCTCACCTCAAATTATTCTCTGTAGGTTGACAGAAACAAATTTTGGGTTTTGTGCTTCAGGAATTGTACTGCCAGTGCCCTCTGGTGTCAACATGTAACATATGGCCTGGGTTGGGAGATGCTCTGGCTCCCACATAGGATTTTTTTTTTGTTGACTTTTCTGCCACTCTTCGTCAATGCCATTTGTTGCTGTTGCACTGTCTTCACCTGAACAGATTTAGTAAATGCCTGCTAAGTTCAGTCAGCAGACTCAATTTAATTATGTGAATACTGAGGCAGGACACTTTAACAATGATGTCAGTCTTTCATTCTCATCCCCTTTTTTCTTTCTTCTCCCCAGCCTGAGAATTTACTACTGGCAAGTAAATGTAAGGGTGCTGCTGTCAAACTGGCTGACTTTGGATTGGCTATAGAAGTCCAGGGAGAGCAACAGGCCTGGTTTGGTAAGAGTGTTTGAGCTTTCCCACTTTTACTTCCCCCTTCACTGATAGCTGGTTGAGTTGAACCCTCCCAGAGTACTTTCTCTTAGCTCTTCAGCATACTTGTGTCTATTTGGTATTGCTGCTTCTTTTCCAAACATCTTGGGCATGAGCCTAGATGGAAAAGAGGAAAGAATATGATAGATAAAGACAGAAAAAATTCTGTGTATTTCTGTCTTTCTTCTCAGTTTACATTAGATGCTAGTATCAGAGATGAATGCAGCTGCTAAGTTTAGGTCCTGATCTGAACTTTCCTACTGCCTGGGAGTATAGACACCTGGAATTTTGGTCATTTTACAGAAATATAGTTGACCTGGGCTTCCTCAGGCACATTTGGATCTGGCCTTATCTTTGTTTAGCTAAAACATAATGAGAAACAAGACCTTCTCAGGCTGAGAATCAGCTCTGAGACTCTGCAGTACTGTGGAGATTCTGGAGAGATGACTGCTTCTCCTGGTCTGCCTTTTGGTAATCAGATGTGTCGCATTTGTGTCTTGTGTTTTCAAACTCCAAGCCATTATATGTTAAAATTATACAAGGCCTAGCATATGAGTTTGTGCCTAGCTGATTGCTCTTTCTTTTCTGTTTTTCCTGCAAAACATGGACACTTGATCCCATCTGATTTTCTTTATTCCCCAGCCCACCTCCCCTTTCTTTTGGTTTACCAAGAGGTAGTGCTAGCAAATGTGAGATGAAGGGTGGGAAATGCATTTTGGGATCTGTTGGTTACCACTAGTGGATTTTGTGATATGGCAAGAGCTCTTGTGCTTAAGTGCTATAAGTACTTCATGTCATCCATTTCCTGGCAGGGTTTGCTGGCACTCCAGGCTACCTCTCCCCTGAAGTCTTAAGAAAAGATCCTTATGGAAAACCAGTGGATATATGGGCATGTGGTAAGATTCTGTAAAAATATTTTGCATTTAAACAAGACCTTTTAATGTAGAAGAGCAATTCCCTTTAACTTGTTGCTGGGCAGGTGCACAATACTCTTTCTTACTGGGTGGAGAGATAAAGGCATTCTTGAGAATAATCACCTTGTCTAGATGGAGTTAACACTGGAGCTTGAACTTGTTTGATTCTGGCTCCTAATCCTTTCCTCAGGCCATCTATCAGATGTTTGAGACTCGAGAGATAAGGCCTGTCTATGTTTTGCTGACTTAGTTGTTTAGATAACTATAGCAATTTCTAATTACATTAACTGTATAGAAGATGAAATACTGAAGAGACCTGATTTTTGAAAAGGAAAAAATTAAGTGTTCAAGTATCTGAGACTAATAAGTTTAAAGATACACGATATCAGTGTTGCCTGACATGAACTATAAATGGTACTCTGCAGGCTAGGAATGTTAGCTTTGTCAGTGGCATTTTTGTCCCAAGACCATGCACAGTAAACATTTAAAAACCTAGTCCTTCCTAAAAAGTCCTTTGCTGCCCAGCAGCCCCAGGAGATCTGGCTTAATTTTATTCTGAGACCAGCTGGAAGTTGTGGCTCACCAGCAGTGGTGGCCAGAGGAGGGGGTAGGACATTATGCACCATGTTCTATCTCCCAGCAGCTGGGTTTAAGAGCTGAACATGAAGTGCTAGGGTGAGCTTCAGCAGAGAAGAGGTTTGTACTGCCTTTTTTTTACCTCGGAGGGCTAAATATGATGGCTAATTAAGATACAGAGCAATTATTGCCTTGGGGACTGTCAAGAGGGAAGGAAGAGGGGCTAAGGGAGTAATTGGCATATTAGCCTAACCATAGTATATCTGTGTCTCTCCCTCCCAGGAGTGATTCTGTACATATTACTAGTGGGGTACCCTCCCTTTTGGGATGAAGATCAGCACAAACTCTATCAGCAGATCAAAGCCGGAGCCTATGACGTAAGGGCACTTTCTTGCTGAGTACCTGCATGGGTGTAGAAGCCATCCAGAACATGGCGCTATCTTACTTGGTGTCCAGCAGGCCCCAAGATACTGTGCAACTGATGTTTGGCATGTTCATACACCTTGTCTTCACTGCTTGGGATACAGTCGTGTTCGGGGCTACTGAAAGGAAGTGGAAAGCATTGCAGTGGTCACCAAGATGTTGCTGGTCATTAGGGAAATGCAGAGCTGGAAATGCAGATGGTGGGAAATGTTGTCTTCTAGTGCATTTACCACAAAGTGCTGCAGACATAGCCATTGTTAACTCTTTCAGGGGAGCAAAGGGAAGGTTAAATGAAGGAGCCTGTCTTTGCTTGATCAAGACACCTAATGAAAATCAGAGGGAAGTGTTATGTAGGATAATAGCTTAAATTATGGCCTCTGATCTCCTCAGTGCCAAAGTGGAATTTCTTCCAGCCATGCAAAGCTTGGAGGTCAGTGAGAAGACTGAATGGCAGGGGTCTTTGGAGGGGTGGCTTTGTGGTGCGGATCAGCATGGTGGGTTGGAGGTTCTGGTAAAAAGCCAAGCAGTTCCTCAGAGCGTGGCATAACTGAGGTATAAAAAGCTACCCAAAGGAAAGGAATAGCAAGGAGGTTAGTACTGGGGAGCAAAAGTGGTGTAAAATGTGTTTTGGGTACCACAGCTTGAATGTTTGACTTAAATTCTTCCACATAAAGAGAGGCTCAGAGGGAAGAAGGAACCTCCTAGAAATCCTAGCTCAAAGTTTGTGAGCATGAATATCAAGAGGGAGTTAGGGAGTTTGCTTTGTAGGCTGTCTTACAGTTTGTATTACCAAAAATCGGGTTCTGCTGGACCCCAGTTACCTCCCAGCCTCTGTGTCTGAGACCATGAGAGCAGCAGTACTGGTGACAGTGAGAACAAAGGTTTGCCTTAACCTCATGTCCTGGCTCAGTGGCTTCCTGAGTGAAAGGAAAGTTATGCCTTTGTACGTGATAGCCTTAAATGGACTTGTGTTCTTCTCTTCCCTTCTTGCCCCTCTTGTTTTTGTGCTGCTTGTTCTCATTTGAAATGTTTTTGCACTGGTTGTATAAATGGGGATTTTCAAAGCACGTCAGGGGTTAACTGTTTAACTCCTTCTGTAAGTCATAAGGAATTACATGTCTGATGCTTCCTATCTACCTGCTGTTTTCAAATTCTTACCTTTAAGAGCAAGGTCCAGTAGATTCCTCCCCTGATTTACCCAGAAGAATACAGCTCAAGTGTTACTGGTCTACCTGCCTATGGTGTCCTTACCCCAGCAGCTGAGTATGCAGTGGACTGGTCTGTTGTTACCTCTTGACCATAAAGGGAGTGGCAACTGTGAATTGGACTTTGTGCTGTTGGGTAGAGGTTTTGCAAGGCATTACCATGAATACTTTAGAGTTTGGGTTAGGGGTAAAGTGTCCTGGCTGAAAGCTCAGTATCATAATTTTTTACTCATCTTTTGTAAGGTTTGCAGAACAAATTGTATAATGCCCTACTGATGCCTGAAAATGCAGGAATATGATAATGCGCAAATCAATTACCATGGGTGTATTTTTATGACCTGAGTGAGAGGAGCCCAAAATGGGATAAACTTTTTCTAAATGGTTGTAGCACTGTAAGGAAATGTTCTCAGGATAGATTATTCTTCCCCCCAGTCCCCCTTAAAGACAGGGGACTTCTATCCAAACAGCATATGTATCTTTGTGTTCTCAAGTTCACCTGTATTTGTACAGTAGATTCATAGGTGTGACATGTACTGCATTTAATGTCAGCATGCTGTCATCTTTACCACATGCAAGCATCTGGAGGATGGCATAAATATCTTTATCATTACTTGAATTAGAGGAGAGAGCAGTTACTCCGATGGATAACCAGAAACTGAAATACTTCTGATTATTTTCTTTGTTTCCGTGCTTCTATATTCCCATCCACTGTTACATCTCTCTTGCTCCCCAGGTAATGATTTCTGATATGGGACATGCTTGCTAATAAATTGCTTGTGGGTTGCTACACCTAATTGACTGCTATTATTCCAGAATATTATGCTTTATGGTGGGGAAAATACACCTAATGGGATGTTCTGTTAGCAGGTTTCGCTTTCATGGGGTTTTGCTGTAGTGAAGTGTTTGTGATTTCATATAGGCTGGTACAGCTTTTTAGCATACTGGAGAAAGAGCAAGGTGGAGTGAAAAATATAGTGCTTGTGTTTTTCATGTCAGAACTCATTTAGGAAGATCTATGACTTTACTTTTTTGACTATTGAGCGTGAAAGAAATTATAAGGTCTGAGTGATTCCTAAAAGACTTGTAAACTGTTAATCTTCCTGCTTGTGTCTGGTGAATGGTACAGATGTGTCCTGCTGTCTGTTACCATTCGTTTGCTGGATTCTGTACAATTTTTGTTCAGCGTGATTTTTCACAAAAAATTATGTATTTTGCAATTATGTTAGCCCTGATATCAAAAGGGCAAAAGCTGGGATTCAGTTGCATAGGAGGAGAAACCCTTCTGCTAGTAGAAGATATTTTCAGTTCATCATCTGGTCCTTCTTCCCCTTTCAGTTCCCTTCACCTGAGTGGGACACTGTGACTCCTGAAGCAAAGAATTTGATCAACCAGATGCTGACAATAAACCCAGCAAAGCGCATCACAGCTGACCAAGCTCTCAAACATCCATGGGTCTGCGTAAGTGTTTTCCTTTTACTGTGGATTGATTTGTGGTTACTCTGAACTGACATGTCAAGAAGACTTAGCTGCAGAGGAGCCCAGAATATTTTAAATATTTAAAAATCTGATTGTTTTGGAGCCTGACCTTCAATAAGCCAGCTTTGTCATGCTGTGGTGCTTTTATTGCCACTATAGGAAAAAAAAATTAATTCCCTTATTCTTGCAGAGGTTTTGTGGATGTCCATGGTACCTGGTTTTCCCCACATCTCCTCTTGTAGTCCATGTCATCCTAAAATGTCAGATGGAGTTTGGCATCAGACAAAATATTTTATGATTATTTGTTCTTTATCTCTACTTCAGTTCATTGCATTGCATCTTTGCAGTGCTGGAACATTTCTGCTCTGCTGCAGCTTAACTGACTGTAAACCTGAAATCAGCAAAAAATCTTTTGCTATTTTGTGTATGTAGTTTCTGCCTCATCAGACCCCACACATGAGTATTTTTCATCTTTTGCAAAGTTGGCAAGGAAATCCCAGAATGCAGCTGGTAGTAGGCATAGGAGAGAACAGTAATGGTACCTTTTTTGTCTCTGCAGCATGAAGTAGGTCCACCTAAGTCTAACCAGATACTCTTGTTATACTGTAGCATATTTCTGCTATGTGTCTAGTGTGTTCCTTTGCTCATTCTTTTGTCCCAGTGCTTGTAACCAAAGCTGTATATATTACAGTAGCTCACTCCCTCTAGCAACTTAATATAGAATGGTTCAAGAGAGGCTTTCCTTCCCTGAGTTATGGGGAGTTTGATTTCACTTCACAGCCGTTATAGCCTCTTAACCAAACTGCCTCCTGTTGAGTCCATTTTTTCCATTTGCTCTGCAGTATCTATGTGTGCAACAGATGTGTTCTATCTGGAGACTTACTGCGTCTCTGAAGTAGGTAGGAAATCTTAAAGGTTTATCTGAGACACTGAGTTTCTTAGCATCACTGAGCTTCTGAAGTATGTGTCCTGACTTTTAAGCCCACAATGAACAACTGGACTTCACTGTTACTTCTAAAGAGACTGAATGAACAGTAACCATCAAAGTCATTAAAGAGGATAGTTTAGCTACATTCTGCCTCCACACTGCTGTGTGTGCTGCAGCTGGTGGCTAGCTTTGCTGACAGAATCAAAGCAGACTTCCCATGAAAGTAGCTGAATATGAATATAGTTTATTGTTCTTTTGGATATTGCAGAATTTTTTCCAAGCAGGAGAAGGGTAATGGAGGGTTTGAACACACTGATTTGTCAGGTTAGTAATTCACCCACTGTCCTTGTAAAGGAAGTTCAGGCTTATGGCTCTGTGCAAGAGCAGCAGCCACTTTGGCATCAGTTTCTATGTTTTTCATGTGCTCTGAATGACTTGGAACACTTCCGGGAAGTTCTTATTTTGCAGCTGATGGGATCCCAGTCTAACTGTGGGTGACAGGTGTGTGCCACTGGCTGGAGGTTATGCTTAGTTTGTTGCATTGGTACAATAAAGCTATGTCATCTTTCCTCTTGCATACTGAAAGTCTGTGTCTGCAAAACTGATGCAAAGATGCCAAGGCCTCTGCTACTCAAGTACTTATATTGAGGGAATTGCCATGTCCAGGAAGGCTCACTAGTATTCACTTACTGCTTGGAATTTTCCCTTAGGGCTGTAATTAATGCAATGCTGATCTTTCTGTAGTTCCTTCAACTCAGTCCCCAAAAAGCTTGTTTGCTTGACTTTGTCTTCTTACTGTCTTGATCCATTTGTGTGCCTGAGAGTATGGAAACATTGATTCTCACCTGTAGTAGAATTTCTTGGGCACAGTCTTGTACTAGCCAGCTTTGACTTAACATGTCTTGCTGTACTGGGAAGTTCTTAAGTTAGGAACTGGTTGCAGTGTTTTGCAGCCATGCAGTGGTGAGAGGCTTGGCCATGTCAGCTTGCGTGTCATGGTTGTGTGCAAGTAGTGCAATGCCCCTGGCTGAGAGGTTAGGGTATGTTCTTGACCTTTTTTTTGCTGTTCCTGTTTTTCAGCAACGATCCACTGTTGCTTCGATGATGCACAGGCAGGAGACTGTGGAATGCTTGAGAAAGTTCAATGCTAGAAGGAAGCTAAAGGTAAGTATATGTTAGTTTGCCTTAAGTTAGTTTTTAAATTTGTTTTTTGTTATCTGAATTTGAGGTTGATGCCTTCCTAGCAACCGTTTTTTTTGTGATTAGCTCACTAACATTAGTGACCTTATGTGGTCCTCCAGTACAAGGTACTAAAGGAAACTATTGAGGAGCTGAGTAATTTCTTTTTCTGAAGCTGTAAGTTTCCCATGCCTCTTCTGCTGCATAATCACCCCTTCTGCTTCCTGCAAGACAGTGAAAATAGCAGTACTAGTTCTTAAATTCTCTTATTCGTGACTAGCATCTGCCTCCTAGTAATAGTGTATCGGGTGCCTTAGCTAGGGCAAAGCCTCTGTCTTCCGCACAGAGTGGCTGTCTAGTCTTTGAAAGTTAGGAAGCAACTATGTGTCTAAACATAACTCTTAGTGGCAACTTAGATTTCCTAGGGTATCCTGTCTGGCCTCTAGCTGCTGCTCTAGAAAGGCATAACTCTGTGTGGTCCCATGTAAAGTCTAAGAGCCACCTATGAGTATTCTGAATATACTCTGAATATATATTCTGAATATATTCCAGGGTAGTACTGGAATACCTCTGCTTTGGCACTTGACATAAATGTGTTCTTCATGAGTGAGCCCAGTCCCTTTCTGAAGCGAGTAACACTGTTATCCCTGCTTTCTCTTCCCCACAGGGTGCAATCCTCACAACAATGCTTGTGTCTCGGAATTTTTCAGGTAAGTTCTTACTGTTGCCATCCTTTCCTTGGTTTTGTTTTGTGTGAGAGTCAGGGGGATATTGTAACTCTTTTGGGATAGACTAAGAGAGAAGGAAATGTACACAATTCATTATGGTGTAATGATGGTTGCTTTGTCCTGGCTGGTGACCTGCATGAAATAGGAAGTGATTTGTTTGGGTAGGAGCACATGGCACTACAGGCTAGTATAAAATAGAAATAAAATCAGCTGCCACAATCCTCTAACAGTATTTTGTTATCAGATTATTTTGGGGACATTCTAGTTGGCATTTGTTAGCTTTCCTGTCTGAAACCAGGATTCAAGAACTCTTATTAAGTAGCAGTAATTACTTGCTTTAGACCTGAGGCAGGGGCACAGAGCAAGTAATAGTATTGTCAAGAACAGGGACAGGAGCTATTTGGGTATTGTATTACTTTGACTCATCAAAAATGGGTCTGAAGCATCTAGCTATTAGTTTTCCTTCTTGGATTCTCAGAAGTGGTTTTAATCCTTTTAAGCTTCATAACTGGTAGTCTGGCTCCCACCCAACTGCATTACGTAGTGCACTTACTGAAAATGCAAATCGTAACATGCAAATCAGTGCTTTTTGGAAGATGATTGTCTTGGCTCAGCACATCTAGATGATGCAGTCTTATCTGTGTTCATTTCCATTTGGGTGGAAAAACTGTTTTTGCAGTTGCTTTTGGCTTATGGGATTGATCACTTTCTTTGCCCTCTTTGCCATTTTTTTTTTCCCTGTTCTAAAAAGGGCATTTGTTGAGTGCATGAGTCAGACTTTTATTGCACCTGACTACAGTTACTTTCAATGAAAGTCTGCTGTATGGATTTTTAAGTGATGAGAAATAAAACTGAAGTGTATTAATTTCATCTGGCCATTTACTAATGGTGGATACCAATACTTATATTCTGGGTGATGTTACAATAAACTTCTAATTGTAATGAAAACCTCTGAAGTGATCATCCTAGCATTCAAAGTGCACATTTGTGCATACATTCTTTTGTGAAATCAAGGCAGCAATTTTAACCTCCTGTATGGTGGTAAAAAAAAAAAAGTAAAGGATGTGAAATTAAGCTACAATTAAAGGACAGCCCTCAAGAGCTTCAGAATGTTTTTTCCTTGCTTCTTGCTTTCAGGTGAACCTGTGCCAATATGACAGGACTACTTGTGGCTACATTTCCTTTTTCCTGTATTTCTGATAGTTTGGCCTTAAAGGGGCAGAATAATTTTCTCCATTCACCTGTCCCAGGATTGTGCTATTACAGGACTTAGAAATTATACTTTTCCTTTTCTGAGAATGGCTATGAAATGACTATTTTAGGAGCTATAGCACAACGAAGCAGAGCTTCATCAGGACTATATGAAACTTAATATTTTCTTGGGCTTTCTGCTAGTGTGAATGGTCTTTGATCTATTCACACAGCTAGTTTTTATTTCATTTAATTGTTGAATCTGAAACAGTCTTCTTATTTTTTTAACAGCAGTTTTAGATTCATTTTTATTTGGCAAATGTTGTCACTTCTAATGAAGCTGCAGAAGTGCTTGGATAAGAAAATCTCTTGCGTCCCAGATTTTGAGTACATGAAATGCCTGAGAGAAGGGTTCTCCTTAATGATGTGTGACCTATACATCCACTTATTCCCTGAGCTAGAATCAAGGAGGAAGAGGCTTTCTCTGCTCATTCTTCTCTGTCTCAAGGGCTGAAGCTGCTGGATCCACTTCAGTTAACAGCTAAAGAGAAGGAAATCCTAGGTGGCCCTCTTTGAATGCCAAATTCTCAACATCACTGAGTTCTGCTTTTAATATAAGCTGTGATCTTAGGTAATGAGATGCTCTGAGTAACTGTCCAGATAGAAATGTTGTGAATTTAGATGCCAAGTATTTTTATATGTTTTGAAAGGGGTTTTTATTTTCTCTAACAAGGTGACACTGTTTTGTGGGCTTTTAAAAGCCCCATCCTTAGCAGACAGGAGACTAGATTTATGAAGAGAGAAGCTTCTTCCTGTCTAGGGGTGAGATCTACTAAAAGCTCCTTCACAGATGTTTTGAGCCAAGGGGAAAATGAAGGCTCATATGACCCTAGTATCAATGAATTAGGTGTGATAATACTATCTGTAGGAAATATGAGAAGGCTTCTTTAATCCTCTTGTCATTACTATCTCCTCTACAGACATTTTGGTGGTTGTTCATTACACGGTGTGGTTTTAGCTTGTGACAAATTGTATGCGTAAGGAGTCTGTAGCGGTGCTCTTTCACATTAAAAAAAAAATATTTCTTACTTTTTACAAAGCTAAAAAATAACCCCTTCTGTTCTTTTGTGAGTCATCTGTTGCTTGCTAAGTGTGTGACCCACCCCACGTCAGGTCCTAAAGATAAAGGAATGTGATCTGGCTCCTTTCCCCAGGTGTGGTGTATTCAGCAATTTAATATTGGCTGTTTGTGGTTCTTTTTGAAAAGTTGTATCTCAGGTCATCTGTAGGCTATTTGTTAAAAGCACATATAATTGCACTCTTTTCACTATAAGATGGGAAACTGAGACCTGGTAGGTGTTCACTCAGCTGCAAAAGAGAATGTTAAGATCTAAACTTTGCAGTTGTGTTACTCTTTGGAGTAACACTAGGGTACACACAGAATTATTTGGATGCTCAGTTGTGGCTTTTGATGTTCAGATGATCCAATCAAACACTGATCTGATCTGCATTCTGTTCATTTAAAGAATGCAGAAATGTAGTCAAGGTAAATAAATTTATTAGAACATATGCAAGAAACTCCTAATCATCTTCTGAGAGGTAAATGTGTATTTATTCCTAGGAGGAAGTCAGCAAAATTTTCAGAGATTCCTAACAGTGGCAGTATTTAAGCATGCCTGGACTTTTTCATGTAGATAAAACTCTGTAAATAAGCCTGCTATAAACTGAGTGAAAGGATGGACAAAATTGGTTTTCATCTTAGAAACAGCCATCTTTAGTGCTGAGAGGTGGCTTTTATCCATAAGTTAATTTTTACACAAAGCTTACAAGTGTACTACATCAAATTCTTATCACTGTTTTCCTAACTGGCTTTCAACTGTTGATCTGGGGAGGAGTTGTTTGACAAGCTCTGACACTCTCTGAAATAAACTCTCAAGTGGTTCAGCACAAGTGTTTTGTGCCACATTGTGTTCAAACTAGATCCTAAGGCAGACATTGAAGGTAATTAAGCTTTACGCCTGAAACCTTTCTCTTTAACTGCTGCTGAGCTTTTTTTCTTGGTCACTGCTTGCTCAAGTCAGTTTTGTGAGGGAGCTATTATAGCAGCTTGTGACAATAGCTCTAATTCTCTCTACAGAGAGTTAATAGAACTCTCCCATGTGACATTTTGGGTTTTTTCTTCTAAAAAATACCTCAACACATTAATATGAGATCACTAGGAACCACATTTCCCAAGCAGAAGATCAGGTCACATTTAAGGAATAATTAAATTGTTTTTAAGTGATTTCTCTGTATTTATTAAGTTGCTTAAGCAACAGTCAGAAGTTTCAGAGAATGATGCTCAACTACTACAGTGTGGACCTGCTAAAGTAGTGTACTTCTGTAAGTAAGCTTTGATTTTACAGCTTCCCAGTATCACTTGGATTTCATTGCTGCATTAAAATGTTTATCTCTGTAACCTGAGAATCTAATTTATCATCAAAAGTGGATTTAAATTATTGTAATAATTTCCTTTACTTTTGTTCTCCTCTCCCTAAAGTTCATGAGAACTCTGTTAGTGCCTTTTCTTGTGATATTTGCCCTTCACCCCTTGATTTCTTCATTTGTCAGGAAATTGAGTTTTCATAATACTGAAAGAGAGATGGCGTCATTTTTATCAGCTCCTGAATTTGGGACAGAGTGGAGCACTAAGGCTCAAAATCCTACAATGGGTGTTCAGACTGTTTCAACACTGTAAGGTTCTGCTTCTGTTTGTATGTGTACATATATATTCCTGTAAAGAGTGTCTTTCTGGATACGAAGTTTCTGTGTTGGCAGGACGGTGTTTGAAAACATTAACTGGAATATCACAAACTATCAGGCTGGCTCCTGGTTTTTGGCTTTTTGTTCATAGCCTTGCTAAAGAAAGCTTTGGTTTTATGAGCCTGGCAAAGGTGAAAAAAGCAGAAGGAAATCACCTGGCTCCCACACAATTTCTCCATTATGCACTTCAGGGAGAACTGGGAGCTATGTGGCTCATGCCAAGAGGATACCACTGGGTTGTGTATTTTAGGCTTTAGTTTTAATGAATGCTCCCCTGTTTCATCTTACTCTGAAGACCACTGGGGTATGCCTGGGATAAGGATGTGCATCTTCAAATATGATCTACCCTTGAGGTTTTCCCAAAGCATTTGAAGTATGTGCACAGTGGTAGGCATTGACTGTGTCTGATGTGATTAATTTGATAGGAAGAACATATCTGCTATGTCTAGAGATCCTGTAGGTCCAGATTATGTAAAAGCTTGCATTAATTAATTGTTTGGGGTTTTTACTTGCCTCTCCTCTTGGTTCTAACAATTTCTCTCTACTTGTTTTATAAAGAGTGTTTTGAAGTGACTGACTGCTTTTCATGACCCTTTATTTATCCTGTAGCAGTTCTTTGAACAGAATCAGTCTAGTCCTGTTGAGGAATACAAGCCATCTTGGAAGGCTTTTTATTGAGGGGGAAGATATTAAATGATGCTCTTTGTCTGTTGCTCAGGTAAATTTCTGCAACTGCAGTATTGTTTAGGAGGAAGAGGGATTTAATAACAATGGAGGATTTAAAAATAAAATAATTCAAAATAAACTTTTCAGCAAGGGAGAGTCCACATAGGAAATTCTGCCAGGCAGTTATCCCATGCAAATAGATTGTCTTTCATTTCTCACTTATTGCATAGCACTCTTGTGCAATTGCTGTTGCAACAAGTTCCCACAGCAAATCACTGGAGAATCTGAGAGAAAAGGGAACTGCGGAGACAGAAACCAAAGTGAGATTAGAGAACATAAGACAATGACTCCTCTCTATTCTGTGAAATCACTCTGCTGTGTTTAAATGTCCACTGCTAGAGTGGCTTGTGCCTAATTATCTCTCAAGGCAGCGTTACACATCAGTCTTTGTTTTATCTTGTTTTTAATAAATAGATGTCCTCGAAGTTAGGCTGCATTTACAGGCATTGTTGGTAGTGGTAGCCAGAGGTGCCTCTTTGAGGCTGAATGCTGACTGTCATTTGGTTTGTGGTGAGCCCCAGAAGTGACATCAAGTTGAGAATTGGTTAATCTGACTTTCTTTGAACTGAGAATATCAGGATGACAGACTGCAACTCTGTGCCATTGAGAATTCTGTGTTGGTATGATACAATTTTTATTTTAATAATCAAGTCTCAGCAAAGCCCAAAATTCTGTGTGATATAAGTGTTGGTGTTTAGAAGCCAGGACTTGGGTTGTCTGTTAGATTACTGTCACGAGTTAGATTTAATAAAAGCAACCTCAGTGTTATCCCTTCATCCCAAAAAAGTAATCATTGGAAGCTTAACTGAGATGGGAAATGTAACTAAGATTTGCCAACTGGGAACTGGGCAAACCCAGGGCAGGCTGGATGAAGGGCTGCTCGTGCTGGAGGAGACATTCCCCTTGGCTCTGGTATATCCAAAGTATCCAGTGCTTATTGCTGAGGAGTTCAGCATTAAGAATTTGTGTTTCCGCCAGAAGCATGGTCCAGAGCCCCCCCTTTTGCTGTGGAGGCCAAAACTGAGAGATGTGGGAAGAGGGAGGGGTATATGGGGTGTGTGCAGGGAAGGCCTTCTGTGTTTCTCTTCAGATATTAACTGGAGGATGTCCTGTTAAATCAGAACAGAACTGAGCTTTTAAGTTACAGGGGTAGTAGTGTGGGCCTTTGCATTGCTGCATTATATTGTAACTCTTAACTATATTGAGAAGAGAGAAATCACTCCCTTTAATGTGTAGAAGATGTAAGGATGGTGAAAAGAAATAGTAGTATCTCATGCCTGGAAAACTGCAGAGCATTGCTGCAAGACCATTTCTTCAGCCACTAAGAATCTGCATTCATGTGTCCTTGGATTTTCTCCCCTTCTGTTGTCTCTTAGCTAAGCTGCATGTTGGGTGAAGCTGTCTGTCTTCTATAATGATTCTTGTTAGAGAAAGTCTTGTCTGTTGCTTGCTGCAGAAAATCCACTTGCATCCCCTTTAATTTCTGTCTTACAACATGTACAGGCTAACCTGTGGGTAAATCTGCATGCCTCCCTTTTGTTTGAGGTGTCTGTAGTCATCTTTGTGTGCCAGTGCATTTGTCCTTATAGGCTCTCCGGTTGTCCTTGCTGGTCTCCAGTTGTCCTTACAAACTACAGTACGATGCATGAACTAAATACACAGCAGACCAAGTTTCTTCTGCAGCTTTCTTCTTCTGCAGCTTTCTTCTTCTGCAGCTTTCTTCTTCTGCAGCTTTCTTCTTCTGCAGCTTTCTTCTTCTGCAGCTTTCTTCTTCTGCAGATTTCTTCTTCTGCAGATGCTGACAGCCTGTGGAAGAACAGTGTGTGCTGTGCAGAGATACCAGCAGGGGAGAAGCCTAGCCCTGCAGGCTGGGGGCACTGGGTCGGTGTTACATAGTGCTGGACCACACAGAGAGGCTCTCAGCTGAATTTGCTTCAACAGTGTAGAATGTGATTTTAGCTTCTGTCCATGAAGACAAATGTGAGGTTCTGGGAGAACTGCAAGAAGTGTGAAAAATGTTGCTTCTCAGGTTGCGTCTCAGTCATTCCCAAGGACATATGGTGGTGCTGTTTCCCCTCTCTGATATTTTTTATGATTTACACACACACTTCAAGGATGTCCCATTTGGGGTATACAGTTGCAGAATGCTTTACTCCTTCAGAAGTGTTTTAAGGCCATAATAGTTTATTGTTTTCAATAGCTGTTGTGTGAGAGATATCTTGGATGTATGTGTGGTGTAAATGTTGGACCCCTTTTGACCCTGTGGCCACCTTGTTCTCCTTCTCACTTTTATAGGGAATCAAGTTGGTCTCCTTCATCATGCCTTGAAGGTGGCAAGAACGTAGCTGTTAGATTCACTCTTGCGATGCTTTAGTATGTGTACACTTAGCAAAGGAACTGTTGCAGGGCAGATGAGTTGCTTGGGAAAGTTTTCCCACCTTCATGTGTGCACATTGGAGCATCACATTAAGAAAACCTCTCCATGAGATTCTTCCAGTGTTCTTGAATGGTTTCTGTGATCAGGAATGAAGACAAAATAGTGATCTAGCTTTATATACTTGCACTGGGGAGTAGAATTAGGAAGACCAATTCAGAGATTGTAATAAACTTATATAGGGTGCCACCTTTTTATTGTGAGGAGACACTGTAGTAATTTGCCCCAGGTCAGCTAATATTGTCTAGTTAATCTGTAACTGTAGGGTCATGTGGTGGGGAAGGCAGGGTGGAAAATATTTGTTGTGGGCTCCCTGTCTGTGCTTATCATGTTCTCTCTTGCTTTCATTGCTAGTGCCAGTTGTTCAAGTTGAGCAGAGAAGAGAATCTTTATCTTTCAGTGAAGAAATTCAGCCTAGTGTCTGTCTCTTTATCATTCTTTTTGTTGTTTTCCTAAGCAGTTATCAGACACTGGCATTTGCACTTTTCCAGTCCTTTCCTTTCAACTATCCTGATGTTTCTGCAGAGTAACTGTGAAAGCAGTAATTAGGAGGCCTCTGTGTTACCAGTGCCCTCTTTATAAGCAATGTCTGTCATGTGAATGTCTGCCTTTGAGGGTAAAGCCTTTATCCTGTTGCAAAGATCTGCCGGATTTCTTCAGCTTTTCCCCTTATAACTACTGGCATTACTGCATGGGGTCACTGTGAGGATTGTAACAGAGGAGCTCTAAAGTCTCATTGCTGATTTGGTCTTCCTGAGATGGTGAAAGGAGGAGCATTTTTACCTAAACAGGTGACCAGTGATAGGATGAGTGACCTCTGCTCTCAGGATGGTTTTGATTAATGACTCAGCCCGTTTTCCAGGTTTCTTGCTGTTAAAAAGGAATCAGCAGGATGGCTGTCATGCTGAAGTCTCATGCAGTTTTAAGGAAAGTGGGGAGAGATGATAGTCTTGAAACTAAAACCTGACCTGTTTCTCCTTCTCTCCACAGCTGCTAAAAGCCTG